ATGACGTACGTTGTGCTTTATTGCAAACATTCTCCAGGTGGCCCCGCTTGCAGGTCTCATTAAAGCCTACATCCTGAACTGGGTTATACCTTGTGACAATTAATTTTATAAAATGGGGTTGTGGATTCATATGGAGATACTGCCCTCTCTCCCTTTGGCTTGTTTTAATTAAGGTGGGAACACAATAAACTTGCATGTTGAGCGTGATATCTAGCTGTGTGGAATGAACGAATGACCACGCCTGTGACGATACAGTGGAATGAGAGAAATGTGAGTTGTGATTACACAGAAAAAAAATGCAAATGCATATGAAGCATGAATACTGTAAGTAAAGAAATAAAAGACAGTCATTGAAGATGGTATCCATATGTGAGCATGACATTGAACACATGGCTAGAAAGAAAATGTGTGTGTGTGTGTGTGTGTGTGTGTGTGTATGTGTGTGTGTGTGTGTGTGTGTGTGTGTGTGTGTGCGTGTGTGTGTGTGTGTGTATGTGTGTTTTGACACAAGTTTACAATGGTGGTAGTCATTGTATTAAATCTAAAAAAATGAAAAATAAGAATGTTTACAGCAGCTGGGTCTAACCTTTCCCTTATTATCTATTATTGATTGTAGTATCAGGATCATTTGATCACTGTCATCAGTCCAGTCACCAGTTTTCCATCTACTTTGATGACACCTGTAACCTTGACGATTCAATCTTTCTTTCATGTTCAATTCTAGTTCCTTCTCATGACCATACCACTGAAATAAAATCCACATACACACAACACTGTAAATACAGGTAAATGTATTTAGTATTGTATTGTAAATCTGTATCTAACTTTTATATTGCCATATCTTGTGTATTGTTGTGAAATCTGGGGTAATACATATAAAATTACTTTAAATTGTGTATTTTTACTCTAAAAGAAAGCTATAATAATAATAATAATAATAATAATAATAATGAATTTATTGTATCGTTAGAAATAACTTCCATTGATTGACAGCAATAAAATGTTAGTAATAATTTAAAAGTACAATTCATATAAAACTAGTTATAAGAATTGTTACAAAAGAGGGATACTTTAGCCATGCAAAACCATTATTTTATAAACTAAATGTGTTAAATGTATATGATCTAATTGAATTAAGAACCATGCTTATAATGTATAATTTTTATCATAAAAAAGTCCCAGAAAATATTTTGAAGTACTTTACAAATACAAGTACACAGCCATAGTACAAGACAACATTTAGATTTCTGTCTAAAATATAGAAGAACTACTCTCAAGTCAATGTGTATGTCATGTTATGGAGTCAAACTTTGGAATAATATCAAAAATGATATTAAATATTGCAATAGTCAAAAAAAATTTAAACACTTCTATGTAAAGATTTTGTTAGATAAATACAATACTCAATAGCTGCAGTAACTAAGTATCTATTTAATGTGTAACTTATTTTGTCAATTATTTTCACTTTTATTTCTCTGTATATTATTTACCAGGACCTTGCCATGCCAAAATCATCACATCCTCTATATTGTCGTTTAGTTGAAAAAAACAAAAAGAAAAAACATAATTCCATCAAACAAAATTATAGTATTTACATAGCTTAAATAAAAAAAAAGTTAATTACATCCGACAGTTGAGGGTACACATTCTAAGATCCCTCCAAGAAAAAAGAAATTTATATGGTATTGGTATATGAATTGTTTGCTTCCTGTGTTGTTATATTACTTTGGCAAACCCGCTCAACCACTGTGTACAACAACAATTTCTCACAGTAAACCATGGGTGTGGTTTTACATTTTTTCTCAAATACAATCTTATCTTGGTAGTTATACTTACGTCTGTAGCTTCTGGTTTCGCCATGAATTCTGTCAGCAGTCCAATAGCATCACCAACACAGTTACCATAGATTGTACCAAAAATACTATCTATTAATTTGTCATGTTCCAGTTTGGTATTAAACCCACTACGCCCACTAAAAATCTTTAGTTTTTTTGAAGCCATGGTAGTGAGCCACTGGGAAACGTTTAGACAATACTCAGTATACTTCCGCTTTTGCTATTCCCTATCAATGCCACCTCAGCAAAATTTCGACCTTCAGTCTCAGCGTTGTTGAACGTACCTGGCATAACAATAAAAAAAAACGATCGTTTAACAATAGGCTGGTCAAATCCACTGCGGCCAAATACTGAAAAATACAGACAGTTACATTGTGAAATGGCTTACATACATAGTCTACACTTTTAATACTTTTCGAACAACTTACTACAGGACCCATCATCTTATTGGCATAGCGTTTAAACAGAGAGGTGCCTCTGGTTTAAATATTAACTCAGAAGCCCTTAAACCCCTATATGGCGTGGTTTCGTTTATTGCTATTTTTGCTGAAATATGTTTTCTAAATATGACCATACGCACCTTGGTACTCGTGTATGACAACTGGGAGTGTTATCAAATGGGAACTGAATAAGAGTGGGGGGGAATCCGGGGAAACCCCTTCTTGCCCTCGTTTTCATATCGGAAGTGTTAGTTTGTTCGTTGAACAATATTGTGATTTACATGTGTGTGTTTTGTGGTCGTTTTTGATCGCAATTTACCCACATTCAGTGAATGTTAAATATGTTTCCAGAGGCAGCAGATGACGATTCAACAACTGTAGTTTGTCAGATATCGGGTAAGCATACATAATGTAGTTGACTCGTTCTTATGGACCGCAAAATTACGTGTTAATTGGGAACCAGCGGCGGCAACTTCTTTTCTTGGACTTTTGAATTCTTTCAAGATCAACTAAACATCTTGAATTTGGGCTTTTTGACGATTTTGGTTTCTCACTGGTACATGTTTTTCATTGCATCGTTTCAGATAAACAGAAAAAAACATGATATATATTATTGATTGACACTCTCACTCTGAAAAATATACAGCTGCAGTATAAGGTCACTAAAACTGCGAAATAATAAAATATGAACAATAATGGAAAACAAAAAGTGTAATGAAAGCCTTCTGTTAAGTCGAAACCCAAGGAGTTAGCTAATTTGCTAGTGAGTTTGCAAATTCACTGCCCCAAAACTTTCGAGCCACTGTGTAACAGTCAGACCACTCAGATATCATTTTGTCTATAGTACATGTAGTGTTCACGCACAGCTCCTTAGTATGGACCAAGAGGTCAAATACCTTAGCTCATGCTAAGAAAGTGTGCATGAATGCTTAGCACAGGCTGAGAAATGTTGTGTATAGATTTACCCTGGTCCATATCCTTAGCATCATCGAGCTAAGCGACCAAAACGCTAATTCTATTCAATGTTCTTTTGCAAGAATTACTATCATTTTCATTTGCTTTGGTATTGTTTTATAACCATAGAACTAACATGTATACCTTCCTAGTTTCTGTATCCTTAGCTTGTACTAACCAATGTTTGCTCCATTGCATGAATTGGGTCTATCCGATAATTCAAACATATGAGGTTACTGTACTTTGCGTAGTGTGAACACTACTATTGTGTATGATATTCATGGGTTTCACAAATGCACTTACCTGGTAATAGCAGGCCATCATCCTGTAACAACAGGCCAAAAATAAAATAAAAAGGCTCTCAGCAGTGTGAATCGCTGTAGCGAGACCGGCGTAGGCGGTCAAGAGGGCAGAGAGTAGAGAGTAGACGGCCAATTTTGGCTTATAGCAGGCCATATGGTCTGCGGCTGCTTCTTAACGAAACTCAGCTTGATATTCATGTACTTTTAACATACATAATTGGCAAATAATGAAAATGTTTTCTTCTTTTCTTGCAATCCACATTAGGTTGTGCATAATTACTTTGTATCTTAATTGTGGTAAGAAAAATGTAACAATAGCAAAATAAAAAACATTGCTACCAACTTACCAAGATGTCGGGTAGTCACCTAAAATTTAATAGCCTCATTTGCATTTTTTCAATTAATTTTATGTTATAAAAATGTACCTTGAATATTCAATCATTTTCCCCCGATATCTTCAGGAGCTTTTATTTTTATTAAATTTGCATTCACTTTATCATTTTCAGCTCCAGTATGCTTAAAAGTGGAGCCTGTTGGCCGTTGGTATCAGGCATATATCAGTCGGCGACATCACAGACGAACGTTATCACATACCGAAGATTACAATTCAAGTAGCTCATCGGATTATTCTGATGATGATATCATCACTGAAGATGAAGATGAAACGTTTTTACTGACACTTGATCCAAAAGAATGGAAGGTACAACACCCTATGACTTGATATTACCCCCTTCCAATCATTTTGTTGTTTGTGAATTTTTAAAAAAGAAGTTTTTGTGATTTTCCCCGTCTCACAGAATTCGAAAAATTAAAATCCTTTTGCTTGAGACTTGTTATACATGTATCGTGGCTACCGTAAAATCTGTATTAGAAGTCGCATCATTTGTTTTTAATAATTGAGAACCCAAAATTCATCATTTCTCATATGTGTTAAATGCTCTAATAGAAGCCGCATCCCCTCTGTTGCATTGTTCCATTTCAATAGAAGCCACGGCTTTTAATACAGATTTTACAGTAAATACAAAACATATAATAATACTTGTATGTATACATTGCATCTTCCTACACAGAGCCATCTTACGCACACTCATGAAACTGACCTCTATTAAAATATATGTATATATATATATATAACTTTCTTAGAATTTGTATTGTAAACAAAACATAGAAAATCCAAACAATATATTACTAGTTAAATAAAACGAATACATGTACAAAAGTGTTAGATTTATAATTAATTATGTTTGCTTGTGGTTGCCTAGAAACAAGACCATTATAGAGTTCTTGGACTTGGGCATCTTCGCTACAAAGCCACGGATCAACAAATTAAAAAAGCACGTAAGTATCATTTCCAATGACTGTGATATTTCTCTCACTATGTGAATTGTTAAATATATGCATTATAAATGCAGTCTAGTTTATTCAGTTGTCTGTTTGAGTGTGTGATTGGCTGCCATACAAATGTCCAACAAATTCAAATGTGTTTATGGGCATAAGAACTATAAGGAAAACATCATGGATATTAATTTAGCAATAGTGACAATTAAAATCTAAATCTTTATTGAAGTATTACTACCGGTAATTAATTTTTTCACAATCAAACGTTTTGTCTAACAACTAGTCAACAACAACAAAATGTAGTTTGTGGTAGTTTGGAGATGAGTTGCTATTGATCAAAATATTCAAATGGAACTCAGTTGGCATTATTTAAGTTGTGTATAGTGAGTTTGTTACCACACTTGTACAGCTGTATACCTGATAGTAACAATTTTGGGCTTTGTATTAATATAGATAAGATGAAAGTCCTAAAGCATCATCCTGATAAAAGAAAACGTGAAACTCATGTACCACGAAAGGATGGGGATGATGATTATTTTACATGCATTACGAAAGGTAAAATATCGTATTTATTAATTATTACTCATGAATGTTGCTATGTAATGATATGATGTTTTTTTTGTTGTTGGTGGAGTGAGTTGCATATTTACCCATATTGCAGAGTAATGGAGACTTGTACTTTGTTACTCTCTAATTTTCAATTCACCGCACATCATGACATTTGGTATGTGCGATGATCATACCCCTGCCTACTCCCCAATTGAGATGTTCACTACTGTTAGCTGTAAGTCGTTACATTAGTGAGTATGCAACAGCCTTCCAATCAAAACAGTTACCTACTCTTTGTGAACCAAGGTCAGTGGATCTGCCAACTCTAATGGCTTCTCGTTTCTATGTTGGTACCGGATTCTGCCATAAATTCGATTCGCCCATCAAAAAAATCGCCCTGGGCTGTTTCAAGGCTGGTTGGGGTTCAAAATTTCAAAAAATGATCATGTATTATATTTTCATTGAAAAATCCAGCTACGCCGTCAGTTGGACCACCTGAAAATAAAGAAACTATTGCAGAAGCTAATCTAAAATTTTATACATTTTTGTCTTTACTGGATTAAAAAGTACATCGCGCATATTTCTCTAAAAAAATCACATTATCGAACCAAGTGTGCAAAATACAATTATTTTGTTTCATTTTATTAGTAATGAAAGTATATTCTAAAAGAAGTTTTAAATAAAAATGAACCCAACTGCATTGCTTAGAAGCAAATGATCGCGGTAGTGCAATCCGCAATTGTTGATTATTACCTAGTAATGATTATTATAACGTGCAAAAAATAAATTCGCTGAATTGTTATGAAATGTTAATAAATTTCAACTTATTTCATCGTAAGTGAATGATTCCGATCGCATTTTCAAAATGAAGAAATAGATAAATGAATATCTGCCATGTTCTGACCTGGGACGGTGTTCTTTGACCTGACAGGTCAAATCGCTAATTAACCAATGAAAACGATGGATGATGCCAACGTGTTCAAATTACCACAGCTCATTTAAATATGTAAATGTTATTGAATGCGGCTCAGAAGAGATTTGGCGCTGCTGTTGTACGATCTTTTGGCTTGGATTTTGATGGGAAAGCGATATGATTTGTTTTTAAATAAAAAAATTAGTTGTTTTCAAAAGATAAACTGAACATTTGAACATTTAACATTGTTTACAGCGATAACAGCTCATTGTCGAAATGAAGCTTACCCATTCACGCTAGTCGCAATAAACATCAATACTCTTGAATAGGCGTCAGTGAGTACAGTGAAACTTTTAGGCATCTGAAAAGATTTAAGTAACACCTTAAAAAACTGATGAAAAATCGCCCTGAACTGCAGTTTAACAGCCCAGGGCAAATTTACGGCAGAATCCGTCAATGATTTATTTAATCCAGTACCCTTGTTTTTACCCTTGTCTGATCGTTTCAGCGTATGAAATATTGGGTCATCGACAAAAAAGAATAGCTTATGACAGTGTGGATCCTGAATTTGATGACAGTGTACCATTTGTCAATCAAGATTCTAAAGATAATTTCTTTGAAGAATTCACTGAAGTCTTTGAGAGAAATTCAAGGTACGTTCTATTATGACTTCTTTGTGAAAATTTACATACAGTATATTATCATTTCTTTTGTGGAAGAAAGACTATACACTTCATGTGCGATAATTCATACAGACATGTTCTACTATAATATGTACCAGGATACTTTTAATATTTTCACTCAAATTTATTTTCCCTTTTTCACTAAAGTGGTGAAGTGGAAATACCGTTTTTCTGTATTTTGCATTCAACTCATAAAAATCAGTGAAAATAAACTTTATATCAAACAGCCTAAATGTCTTTCCAGCTAAAATAAATTATTTTAAAGTTTTCCTTTTTTACCCCCTGTCTGAAGGTAATGTATAGTATTTGATGAATATTTTTAGATTTTGAAGAGACACGTTCAATACGCATTTCCATGCGCAGTGTTTACAACCTGATTAAATTATTCGTTGTCAGAAAGATTTGAACATATGTGTTGCACGATTTAAAATTGTATTTATTATTTTCCCCTTCAGATGGTCAACCACAAAGAGAGTTCCCAAATTGGGTGACATGAATTCCTCTAGGTCAGATGTCAATCACTTCTATGGTTTCTGGTGAGTATTAACCTTTTCACCATGAGACTTTCTCATCAAAATTTGTCTGCACTTTCTTGAGGTATGTAAGAGGTGTGAAAAACAGAAAGGGCAGATGCCAAGTGCAGAGCATACTTTTAGAAAAGGGCCGAGGACGTACGAAAAAACAATATAGAGTGCGGATCAATAAACCTTGGAGGGCGAACACGCTAATACAATAGCATGTGGAAACGGTGAAAACAATTCTATGACTGTCCTCCATGCCTGGAAAATAGTTGGCCAATAAATTGAATGCAGCTGACTGATTTACAAAATTCCTGGTCAAAAACACAGACTACAAGCTGATGATAAAATTGAAATTATTAAAAGCAGGCTATGACTGATGAGAAAAATAGTCAGGCAAAAATACAAACTACAAGTAAACGACAGAATTAAAAGTAAATAAAAGCAAGACTGTCGTGCCTAGCTACGGTTCTGTCGCCCACTACAGTGACATTTTAAACTTACTTGTTGTAGGTCGTATTATTTTGTAAGTTGCACTCTCGGGCTGGCAATGTACACCAAATGAAAACGGCAACCGACAACCCAGAACTATGTTTTTCACACCTCTTAGATACCTCCTTTCTTATATTTTTCAATATTTCTGGAAATAAACCCTCACTTTTGGAGTCAAAAACGAATTTTTGGGTCAATTTGTTTTTGTTTTTACTAATATTCTGAAAAAAAGTGCAGACCATAAATGGGATTATTTTCTGAATTTGTGATGAAAAGAGGGAACTGTTGTTGAGTATTAAAATGAATGGTAGGTATTGATAATTCCTTAGCAACATGTGTATTCTCATTTACATTGTTTTGTATACACAATCCAAAACACAGTCAAATGCATTCAGGTGTGATTATTTTCAACCTTCAAACCTATTTAAACCTGTCTAAGCTCAACTCCATCTCCATAGACTTATTAACCAACTGCCTATGTAAACTGATTAATTTCTTCTGGCCTTCTGGGGTATGAATTAAACAACTTGTTCTCACTCTATATATAAAATGTAATGCTATAAATTTTAGTCATTGTTTAAGGAAAACTTTGCAACACATGTAATCATATATTGATCTTCTTGATTGATTGATTGATTGATTGATTGATTGATTGATTGATTAGGCCGATTAAGTTCAAAATTCCCCAGATATGTCTAACATTATATCAGTTATATGCATATGTACAGTAAAACCTGTCAAAACCGACCCCTGGATAAACCTATCTACTGTCAGAACCGACCAATTAATGTAGCCCCGAAAATTTCTCAATAGACGCCTTTGTTAAAACAACCTATGAAATCCGACCACTGTCTACTCTGAACAATATTCACACTGAAAATATCGACCATTCGACCAGTTGCATCACATCCGCTGTCTAGTAATCCGGTCTGTCCGATCTAAAAATGTGCATTGTGTTCAATTTACCGTGAACATCACAAAAACAATACCAAGTAACGTCCCGTGTAAAACAATGGCAACTTATTAAGTTTCTCACACCACACGCCAAGACATCGCATACTGTCTGGACAGTGTTATGACGTCAGATATAAACAAATGATCGGTGACATTGAGTTTTGAGTTTTCTTATTTTCATAACTATTCTAATCGGTAATTTGTGCTTTCGAATGTTTCCGTAAAGGGGGCTTCAAGATTGAAATTGCCGATTATGAAAAGGCAGACAACAAAGACACAGTGTTTCGTTGATAAATACCTCCACTTTGATGAACGTATACCAAATGAAGCAACGTATGACGGCGAGTGGGAGCAACAGATTGTTGGAAATTTTATTGCAGACAAAAAAGACCAAGAATCTACAGACAACAATGACATAAATTGCAACAACAGTCAAATTATGGTCCTCCATGGCGATGTGCTAGACATGTTGACTAGATTACAGAACTTGACAATAAACCAAGACTCGAGTTACTTGACAGCTATCCAAGATCTCAAAATTCTAAACGATAAAACAAAATCATTGAAAAAAAGATGTTCTTTAAACCAGTCAACACTTTTTTTTTTCCAATCATGATTTGATTCATTGACTTAACAGCAAAATCGACTTTCTGTCTGCCGACTGCCGGCCATCTTGTTTTTCATGGTACCCTTGTTACTTTATCTTGAATTTGTCTTGAACGTTTCTGCACCAACGTGATTTTTGTGATTCAATTCAATATGGCTGGCGGACGCCCAATTTTTATGTAAAAGCACTATAAATCATCATTTTTACATGTCTGGAGCTGTTTCTCAGAGATAACTAGGCCAATTTGGATCAAAGTTGGTATTGGGTTATAGTTGCATGTCATATTTTTTCTGTGATTCAAACTCATATGGGTGACTTGTGGCCATTTTGTTTTTTATGATACCCATGCCTACTTTTCCATAAATGCAATGAACATTTCTGTTAAAATTTTGTACAAAGACAGTATACCAATATTTACATCAACATGAACATTATTTTTTTAATTTGATTTAATATGACTGCCCAATGTCCAATTCTTGTGTAAAAGCACTAAATCATATTTTTTTACAAATCCATCTCCTATTAATGGTTTCAATCTAATCTCAATGACTTCATCAGCATCAAATTGATATGTCAGATCACAAAATTTTGGACGGGACTGTGTCATTAACAATGACTTGTTTACTAAGTCCCTGCTTTTATTTACCATGAGCCAACCACCACAGGAACGTTGTAGGGTAGAACTTACCCTAGCTGACAAAGTCAAGCTTATCAAGGATTACGAGTCAACGAATCTAACTCAACAACAACTTGGCCAGAAGTATGGCATCGGGAAATCTACAGTGACAGACATCATAAAGAAAAAGGCAGACTACATGAAGCAGTTTGAAAATAACATCAATGGATCCAGACAGCGCATCAAAACTTCATCAAAATTTGAAGAAATAAATGGCTTGGTTTGGACATGGTTTCAGCAGGCTGTGCAAAGCATATTCCGATATCTGGTCCGATGTTGCAGGAAAAAGCATTGTCATTTGCGTCTGAACTCAGTGTCAAAGCTTCTAACGAATGGCTTGAAAGCTGGAGAGGGCGTTATTCGATTAAATCGTTCAAAGTCAACGGAGAGAGTGCCGATGTAGATTTGGAAGTGGTCGAATATTTCAAACAGCGCATTGGTGAACTGTGTGAAAAGGTACAAACCAAAAGATATTTTTAATACCAGTGAAACTGGTGTTTATTTTAGAGCCTTGCCTGATAGAACACTGGGAACAAAATCAGACGATTGTAAAGGCGACAAAGTTTCAAAGGAGAGACTTACCGCGTTGTTTACATGCAGCATGACTGGAGAGAAAATAAAACCATTTATTATCGGAAAGGCAGCGAAACCACGCTATTTTAAAAATATTGATCCAAAAACTTTGCCTGTATACTGGAATTCAAATAAAAAAGCTTGGATGACAAGTGCCCTATTTGAAGAATATCTCCGTGATTTAAACAATCAAATGCGTCGTAAATGCCGAATAATCTTGCTTTTTTTTGACAATGCCACTTCACACTGCCGGAACATTAGGCTAATGCATGTCACTCTGAAATTCATTTAAAGCTTGATACAGAAAATGACTCTTACGTTCTGTTATTGCAAAGATTGTCACAGAATCGAGTGCAAGTGAAGTTTCGAAATCCGTAAATGTACTCGACGCCGTACAAAGGTGGTTTCAATCAACTGGACAGTGAAATCACCGATGTGGAAGAAGCAGATGACACAGAAGAGATGAGAAATCTTATCAATGAAGTCACAGGGCCAGACGTTCAATGCACCGTTAACGAATATCTTAACTTCGATGACAATATGCCGACAGAGGAAACTTATGATGGAGAATGGGAACAGCAGATTCTAGAAAATTTTATTAAAGACAAAGAAAACCAAGACTGTCTAGATTACGATACAGAAACAGTGAATGTGACGAGAGCATCAACATGACACATGAAGATGTGCTGCACATGTTGACAAAAATAAAGTACTTCGCAATAAACAAAGACTCGTGTTACCTGACGGCAGTCCAAGACCAGCAAACCATGACTGAACAGAAAGTTGTACAGAAAAGATGTTCATTGAGGCAGTCAACTTTGAACAGTTTTTTTACACCATAAACTGACATTTATTGACGTACTTAACTTAAGTTTAGTGACTTTTTTCAACATGAATCAGTGACGCCAGTAAAAATGGACGCTTTCATTAACATGTCCATGTATACGTATCTGTCATCAGCCGACGATCACCAGTTGTTGTTTTTTTATTTCTTTTCTTTGTACATGTACAAATTAATTCATAAATCTACAGTACTACATGTAATCAAATAATGTGGGAACTTTTGATTTATTGATAATAAACGTAATTACAATGATATTTACAATGTTGGTATGGTGATCTCTCTGATTAAAAATAAGTGTAAATATATGCCTCATTTTTTTAAAGCCACGCCCACCCTGAATAAACTGACTCCCTGTGAAAACCGACCATACATTATGGGCCCACTCAAGGTCGATTTTGACAGGTTTTACTGTATTTGTATTTTCATGATTTGATTCAAGATAGCCGAATGACATCCATTTTAATGTCAAAAATGTATCAAAATCACACATTTTGACCATTCCAAAACTAGATCAGAGTTGTACATGGACAGATTTTGTTCAAACTTGGTACGTACATATGTTGAATATAACCGTGATGCACATATTTTGTTTTCGAATTTGGTTCAAAATGGCTGACTGGTGGCCATTTTGTTGCAAGAAATGCAGTTTCTGATTCATACATTTGACATGCCTAGACCAATTAAGCCCAAACTTCACACATACATCATATCGGACAAACATGTATGCATTTTTTTCACCATCAAATACAAAATGGCTGACTGGCGGTCATCATGTTTAAACATCTTCTACGAATGTGGGAGACTTTGCGATTTTGGAAAATAACGAAAATTAGTATGCAAAATTATCTGTTACACAAGCAGCACCATTCACCACAGTAGAATGAAAAATTGACACACTGCCGTGGTTTCTACCTAGTTTGCACTCATGTGGACATTGCACTTCAGAACCTGTATTTTGAAACAATGTATTATTAAGTCAGAATATTATTAAACTTGTATAAGAACAAAATGATTAACAAATATTAATAATAATTTATTACACTATGCCATCAGAGGGCGCAGTATGGTAAATAAAATACAAATCATAAAAAATACAGTAGCTAAACTATGATAATGCATGTTTCAATTACAATACTGCGAAATAATTTATTTTTACTGGAATTAATTTTCGCTGAAAGGACTTTTTGGGTGTTTTGTATATATATGTAAATGTAAAATGTAAAATCTAGAAAAAAAGGTAAATTCGCTGGATTTTATTTTTACTGAATCACTCCTTAGGCGAAAATAGCGAAAATAAAGTATTTTACAGTAATTTGCAGATAAATGATTCTGAAAATACTCCAACAACTGAACCATCTCTCATACATGACAAATTTAAAGTCTAAACTTCACACATATATCACATATTATTTTTCGAGGGCTGCAAAAGCCGTATCCAGTCCATAAAGGTTTTATCATATATCGTATATGAAAAAAAGTCTTTAGTTATGTTATTTTTCGTTTGTCTGGCCCAAAAGAAAACCTATTCGATTTAATCCGGGTTTCGATACGAGTCGTTTTACTGGCGTGGATTTATACAAGGAATTCTAAACGACGCAAACGCGTCAACAACTCTCGCACAATAG